TTGTGTTGGGTTTGGTTTTTGTGCGGGGCCGTGTGCTGCAGCTCGTGTGTAACGACATCTGCATGTCACCCCCCGTAACCAGTATCGTCGGTTCGCCACTTCTCCTCTCCACTGCACGCTTTCTCCTTTCGTCTTGCTTTCCCCCGTGCGTATTATGTATCTGCGTACGCCCTCTTCACTCACTTCTTGTACACGGTTCCCTACGTGTCGGAGCTTCGGTGATTGTGGCCTGCAGTTCTCGCTGTCTCGCCTTGTTGCAGCGTGATCGCAGCACCCTGGTGTACTCCAGCACCGCAGCAGCTTAGTCTCCCCAGTCGTAACGAAAACAGGGTTAGTCCCCAACCCCAGACCTTATTCCCACCTTATTCCCCTCCTCCTCCTCAGATGAACTCCCTTCCCTCTCCTCTCCCGTTGCCATCTCCAGCCTTCGCGATTAATGATACCAGCTATTGAAGGATCCCGCCAAATTAGGCTTTTTATTCGTCGGACTGAGACCAGTTGACGCAGCACCAGCCACACCGTTCCCTCCTCCCGAGCCTCCTGAAACGTCATCCTGAAGCTTCTGCCACATTTCGTCTCCCACCACACAGTGGGTAGATTCAGTGAATGTAAACGTGTCAAACGGAACCCCCGCTGCTTGCCGGTTTTTCGTCACGCTGTTTAACGAAGTTTTAATGTTGCTGGAAAAGTACTGTAGCTGGCTTATTTGCTGCGGGGTGCACTTCTTTAAGTGGGAACCGAGGCAGCGCACAAGCGGGTTGGCTTTCCCCTTCGCCTTTGGCGACATGGCGATCGCGACGGCCTTATAGTCCACCAGCGAGTTCACGACGAACATTGGCGATTTGACGAACTTGAGATTGTATTCGGGGAAGAAACACTTCCACGTGGAATCACTTGGTTGCATGGCTGAGAGGAGGGGGAGGAGAGAGGCCGAGAAAAAACTGAGGGTTAAGTGATTTGGAGATAGGGAATGGAGAGGACGGACTCGCTTCAAGGCGAGAAGAAAAGCGATAAGGAAAAGTCAGTAACATTGACAGTGAGAGTGTGAGGAAGGGGAGGAAAAATTGAACACTCACCACCATAACAGACAATCATCCATGCCATGGTGAATTTTCTGAACTCACCATCCTTGCAGTCGCCGTTGATCCCAATCCGGTCGATGTCATGCAGTGTTGCCAGCCGCTGCACCTTCTCCCGCAGCGACCGCTCGCCGTTCACAATCCACCACGTCTGTCGGGCACAGCGAAAAAGGGGAGATGCGAAAATCGAAAACAAAAGAAAAAACAAATTAACGGGGAGTGTTGCCAGCCGCTGCACCTTCTCCCGCAGCGACCGCTCGCCGTTCACATCCACCACGTCTGCCGGGCACAGCGAAAAAAGGGGAGATGCGAAAATCGAAAACAAAAGAAAAAACAAATTAACGGGGAGAGAAGGTAAGCAGCGCCACTATGGAGAGCTGGCACACAGAGCATTACCATTCCAACCCTTGTAAAACCGGAAATTTATGCCCCTGGGAAACGGTCCCCGATACAGCCAAGCCAACCCCAAAAGCGGCCTACCTGGGAAGAAACCTCCATCCATAAAGCACTTGGTCTTGATGCCGTAATCCTTGAGCCACGTGGCGATCTGGTCGCACTTGATCGACACGGCCACCGCGCCCGCGCTGCAGCCCCCCACCAGCACCTCCTCCCCGTGGTTCAGATTTTGAGTGTCCAGCAGATCTGAGACCGGGGGAAACGGGGAGCGCGGAGGGCCGAAGGGGGAGAACCAAGTCAAGAGGGAAGGGTTTCAGCGGAAATTATTCTTTGGACCGAGATAGGTCAGCTCCCTGTGATTTAGGTTCTGATAGTCCAGCTTAAAAAAAAACGTACCTTGAAGCACGCCGTTTAAGTTCCAGTGTCCCCTATAGTAGAGCGTCTTGCCGGTCTCCTCCGTCTTGTTCTTCTTGCCCGAACCGCCCGTGAAGGAGCTGCCGTCGCAGTACTTGACAAGCACCACATTCCAGTTGTAGAACTGGGGGTTAATCCCCGCGTCGGGGCTTGCGACTCCGCCGAAGTGCACGTTCTGCAGGGAGGGAAAGAAAGGGAGAAGCGGAGGGAGAAGCGGAGGGAGAAGCGGAACGGGAGCAAGGAAATGGGGAGAGGGACACGGGCTTCTCGGTCTGCGGTATTTTCTGCGACTCCTCAGTACGAGTATGGCTGGAACTCGCATTGACATACGACATTGTTGATCCAAATGAACGGTGCAAGATTCCATACTCACGCTGACGGACGGCCAGTTGACGGAGCTCCCAAGGTCCGTCTTTGCGCGGTTGGCGCATTGCTTCGGATTGAAGCACCACCCACCGCCCTAGGGGTAGAAAACAGAAAGCGGGATTTGGAGAAAAAAGTATTAGGGACGGATGCAGCTGGAAGAATGATATCCATGGAGTGCTTTTCCTATGAAGAATACGGCCGCAAAGGTTGAGGACCAGGAAAACTAAAGGGTTTAGAGCTTTGCGAAACCGAATTCACTGAATGCACTTGTTGCCTGAATCAGAGTTGTTGCACTTCGGTTCGCGCTCACCTCCATAAAAAGGATCCACTTGTTCGCGCCCGTGCCATAACCCTCGCGAAGATAGTAACCCGGCATGCTGCGAAAACACGGGTGAACAGATCAATGTTATTTCCGAGATGCTTTCGGAGTGATTATACGAGAATGTTCAAAGAGGAAAGTACGTTTAAGGAACACTTTTCTACTCTCATCACCCATTCGGGCATCGAACTCACCTATGCTCCTTCAACAGCATGTGCAGCCACGCAATGCGGCAAAATGAACTTATGTGAATGAATAAAGAGCCGTTCGTTCTAGCAACATTCCTCCGCTCTTACCTCCCGTCCAGGCATCGACCTCGCGTCTGCTCCTTCGACAGCATGTGAAGCCGCGCGACGCGGCCGCCGGGATTAACGGACGACGCACTGGCACCTGGCTTGGGACTCGAGCCGCCGTTGCTGTTCCCATTCAAGTCGCCACGCGATTTGAAGTCTGCTAGTGCGGAGGCAAGCAGGTTGCGTGGGCGCGCGGGATTCACGGACGCGGAAGCGAGGGCTGCAGAGAGCGCGACAAGCGCGAGTACGAGGGTGAGGCTTATAAGCGAGGCCTGAAGGCCTTGTCCAATGCGATGGTGACTCCGTGCCATATTCTCTGAGACGAACGCTATGATCTAGCTCCTGGCGGGATAAGTCATACAAGCTAGGCGTATTGCTGTTTGTTCGATCGCGCTAGAGGGTCTAGTTGGAAAAGTATTAGGCTCGTACTGATAAAACTGCGGGCCAGAATCACTGAGGTCTGAATGAAAACAGTGATCCTTCAAGATGACCTATCTCTCCGCGTCTTACTTTTTCCAACGGATAGACAATGCGCTCTGGATCGCTACTTCGTTCTTAAAGCTCGGGTGGTCCAGATCCTTTAACAAGTTGCTCGCTGCTTTGCCACGATCAAACGACAAAGCCAAGAATCTCCAGACACTATTCAGCAAGGTGCCCTCAGCGCAGTCGATTTTCTGTAGGGTGTCGAATCGCATTCGCCACGCGCACGCCCAGGTAAGCCGTTAGGACTACACGATACACACATCTAGAGGAATGCTGAACCTGCACTAGAAGAGACTGCTCTTCACCTGGACCATGGCCAGGCCAAGGAGTGAATTCGTGGCATGTGTATGGTGTGGTGTGGAGGAGGGAGGTCGAAATTGGATTTTCAACATTCGACATTTTGGCTCTCGTTGATGTAGATTACGTGTCGCCCACGCGCGTCGCGTCTCAAAGGGAATGAGCGGGAGAGGTTGCGGAACCGCGAACCGCCAAGCATTTCATTTTGCTTGCTCGCTAGTCGTTTTGTTCCGTTCGGTGAATTATGAAGTACACTGTCTTACCGATGTCTATATAAAGTGAAACGTGGAAGCTTCAAAAACTTGATCCCTGTAAATGTGGACAAAGACTCTGGTACCCATACACAAGCCTTGTTGATGAAGACTGTGTGAGGCAGTCTCACCTGGTGTCCTGGGTCTATTGCAAGCATTTCGATGGCTTCATATCCTACACCATTTGATCGCCTGTGGCACAGTGCTTGGTTTGGAGCTGGAATACCGTAAATGGCTCAATTTAGGATGAAATAAGCAGCCACGAGGACACATCCCTAATCCTACATGCGGAATGAATTACCCGCATAACCTTTTGTTTCCTTGAGCTAGACTATACGTAGATGGCCATGCTCCTCAAAACATAGGGAGGTCATATGATGCAGATTACATGATGTGGCATGTTGCAATAATCATTGTACACCAGCTAGCTTGCTTAGCCGCTGGTATGCAAGCTCTTTGAGCCGTTTTCGGTCAAATGGGACGTATGCACAGATAGACTCATCCAGTCTGCATGCACAAGCAACAAGAGACAGACAGTGCACATTTTGATTGTGAAACAACGACTGAATGTCACATACTAAGTGGTGTGTGACAGTGTTGGCAAGAATGAGAGCCACAATGGTAAGGGGTACGAAAGGGGGTTTGAGAGGAAACGGAAGGCGGGGTACGGTAAGGCAGTGGCACTAACAAGGGCAAGGGATAGTGGTGGGGGGAAGAGACAGGGGCAGGGATAGGGGAAAAGGCAAGCGCAGGACGAGAGGTAAAAGGTGAACTTCTGCTGACGAAGTTACACGAAGGCCGTGAGGTGACGCAGCGACTCCATGTACAAGTACAGCTCCGAGATGCCATATGTGATGTTCTTCACTCCCTCGGGAGTCGGGGGCATATCTCACTTGAGCCGTTGCTTGAACCAAGCAAGCATATGTGTTGCCAAGGGACTTACACGAGGGCGGCGGTGAGGTCACACAGAGATTCCATCAACTGGTACAGCTCTGAGACGCTGCATGTGATGTTCTTCATATCCTTGGGGGCTCATCTCCTTGGGGTGCCGGTCAAACAGAGCAAGCATAATAACAGGTGGAGGTACAGCAAAGGAACTCACACGAGGGCGGTGAGGTCGGGCAGAGACTCCATGAACTGGTACAGCTCTGAGATGTCGTATGTGATGTTCTTCACTCCAGGGTTCATCTCCTTGAGCCGCCGCTCAAAGAGAGCACACAGCCCTGTGAGTCATGCATGGCGAGCAGAGGGACGAGCATGGATAAAGAAAAACAGAAACGACATTTTGTGCCATGTTTATTTCCGCATGGCACTCAATCCTCCGCTCTTGGAACCCTGAACTTGCGATAGGTATTGTCGTTTGGGGATCCTCAAGAGGGTTTCAGAGTTTGAGCAAGTTTAAGGTTTCGGGGTTGGGGCTTAAAGTACAGGTGATGAGTGCGTTCTTTGGCTTAGAAAGTGTAAGGTTTCAGGGTTGGGGCTTGAAATACAGGTGAGGGGTGCGTTCTTTGGGTAAGAGTGGAAAAGACTAAATGCATGCATTCATATTCCCAAGTATGGAATAATACAGGAGACGAATGAGAGCGAGGGAAGGGAAATACCATCAATGGCTTCTGCTGTGGTGGGGTACTCGATATAAGTGCATGATGATTTCTGTGGCGCTGTTTGCAGCAGAAGAATGGTGTGTCCATCCTGATTGGTTACGGGAGAGGGGGAGGACGGTGGTACGATTTGGGCACAGCAATAGGGACAGGGAATGTCGGGCATGGAGAGAGAGAGAGCGAGAGAGAGAGAGAGAGAGAGAGAGAGAGAGAGAGAGAGAGAGAGAGAGAGAGAGAGAGAGAGAGAAAAAACAATAGTCTGTAAGAATGATTAAGCACGGAGTGTGTGAAAGAAGGCTATGGAGAGGTCGCACAGATTAGTAGAAAGATAGTGAGAGCATTGGAAACGGTGCGCGTCCAGGAGGATTGGTTGGGTGAATGCAGGGGACAGCTGATAACGCGGGAGGGAACCCTAACCGAGATGGTGTGCTCCAATTAAAAGCGGTTGCTCTAGCAGATAGACGAGTACAAACAGCAAGGAAACCCTAACCGAGGGGCACTCGCTGTGACAGTCCAGTTACGCCATTTCAAATCACCAATTCGACATTCCAAATGTACAACAGTTACAGCTTCCTAAACAAGAAACAGACTGAGCGCAAGTTTCGTTACCATATTTGTCAGCAAAAAGTGAGTCACCGCCTGCTGCGATTAGCGCGTCCTAAGCCGCCTCAGAATTCCCCCCTTCGCCTCAATAACGAGCTGCTACGACCAGGCCAGGCAAATTTAACAATGAGCACAAGACTCCTACGAGAAATGTCCGTGTTCCCCGCCAGCACGCAATGCGCTTGACCGACTTCCACGACTCTGAAGAAGCCTGGCGTTACTGACAGCGTCTGTCGCCTAGTGGTCTCACAAGGAAACCTACACGGCTTAGCGTTTGATGCTAACTGGTCCCCGGATCAGCGCGTAGGAATAGGCTCGGAAAGGTGCGCGTACGAAGCGCTATGTGGTTATTTTAGGACATAACTCTCGGAATTGAGAACAGTATTGTGAGCTTACGGATGGTTCCGATAACAGAAGGCAGTGGTGGAAATTGGCATTTCGTAACTGCTTGCTATAAAAGGCTCGGTGTACAGAAGTATATGGTGGTTTTTACTGTTTCCAAGGTGCAGCTTTTCATTGCGGAGCAGCCTGAACCGAACCGTGTCGCGGATATGCGACCACAATGGTGTCAGTCAGGGTGCACAACAGCTGTTTCGTCAACCCATGGTAACTCTGATTTCGCTAGAATCACTCAGCACGCGAACAGCCTTCCTAGCCTCAGCACTTTCGCGTTGGCGCAATTTCAAAATGCGCGCGCCGCTTTGATATTTCCGTGTCGCGGCTCGCTCCAATGTGACAGTGCAGGCATTTCTCCTGCGCGGTTGGGACAATCGACAGCAAGGCAAGCACGTGACCCAAAGCACAAGAGTAAGCGAACGCGAGAACACCGAAATAATTTAGGTAACAGGGTTTAACTTCTGAGTTCAAACAGCAGGGGAGAAGCAAATTTCACTTGGCTCACTAGCTTTACCCTGTTCAAAAGCAAATCCTTTCTCATCACAATCCTTTCTCATCACATCCGCCGCCCTTTGACACCATAGCTAGCATTTTACGCCGAGAAGAATAACGGCCTTCGTTCGTCTCTTCTTCGAGTGAATGAACGCGTGCCTACACATTTAGACATGGACCGATCGCCCCTCCTCCGAATGCGGCTTCACGCATTCCCCCCATTTATCTCCATCCTCCTCCTCCTGCTCGTCATCCTGGCCCCGTCGCACACTGTCGCAAGTAGCGAAGCGGCTACGCTAGAGATCGCAGACCTGAGCCCTTTCGAGTCGATAGACAGCGGCGTTGACGCTGAGTCTTTCGGACCGCACACTGATTTCTCTTCTTCCGGCGGCGTCGGCGGCCGTGACGCTGGAGTCGGCGTTTTACCTGGCGGCCCGCCGAGCATGCCTCGCGTGGCACAGCTGCGAGGGACGATTGACGGCGCTGCGACGCAGGCGAGCAGCGGCGTCGCCGCAGGCGACAACCTGCACGTCGCACGGCTGTATCTCCTGTCGAAGAAGAACTCTCGTGCAAGGTGCTTGGACGGTAGTCCTGCTGGGTACTACCTGCGACGCGGGTTCGGAAGCGGCGCCAACAACTGGATCATGATTCTCGAAGTAAGCGGTGCCGTATTCTCAAGTGTAGATTTAGGGCCGGAAAAAAACACTCTTATTGATGCAGTAGAGATGTTTTTCCGGAGTAGACAAAGCAATGCAACGATGCCTCTTTGGTTGTTCTTGCCATTATTGTAGTTTTTGTAGCGCCGGTTGATGACACCCATTTCATTCTCGTGTCATCCGCGTTTCTTGTGCATTGCCAGGCTGGCGGGTGGTGTTTCAACGCCAAGTCTTGCGCGAATCGAGCCAAGGGACCCCTGGGAGCTCTAAGAAATGGCCGCCGACCAGCGTACGTACTATTCCCATCCTCAGCACCTCTCACCGTCATCGAGATGATTTTCAAGTCAGCTGCGAATCACCGCCAACCAGCAGACGTAGAACTCTCAACCTCCGCAACTGTCGTCGTGCCCGTATCAAGGGAGTTTTAGAGGCGATACGGTGGAGTCAGAGCTGGCTAGCGTACGTTATTCCGGGGCTCAGCACCTCGCATTGCGCTGGCTTAAGGCAGCTTTCGAGAAAATGCATGAGACACCCTTACCGTACGGCGGGGTGAGCGGCGCCGACAGCGACGTGAGCCAGCAGCGGCACGACAGAGAGGGAGGCGAAATGTAGAGAGGGTGTTTTTGGGATGTCCCAAAAACATCCTCTCTACAGAGAGGGGGCCGAAAAGCGCCAGAATTGTCATTCTCATTGCATCAGCTCCTTCACCGGCGGCTACGGCAAGCTGCGCTGCTCCTTCTCACCACATCCAACACCTCCCAACAAACCCTCTTTCCCGTCCCTTCGGTCCTTTTCCCCACTCCTTTCCGCCCTCCCCGCCTCTCCTCTCCCCGGCCCCCCGTCTCTCCCTGTCCCCGCAACAGGACGTGAAGTACGGCGGCGTGGGCAGCACGGACAGCGCCGTGAATCCCGCGTTCTACAACTGGAACCTGGTGCTCGTCAAGTACTGCGACGGCAGCTCCTTCACTAGCGTCTACGGCAAGCTGCGCTGCTCCTTCTCACCGCACCCACACCTCCCAACAAACTCTCTTTCCTGTCCCCTCGGTCCTTTTCCCTCGCTCCATTCCCCTTTCCCCGCCACTCCTCTCCCCGCAACAGGACGTGAAGTACGGCGGCGTGGGCAGCACGGACAGCGCCGTGAATCCCGCGTTCTACAACTGGAACCTGGTGCTCGTCAAGTACTGCGACGGCAGCTCCTTCACCGGCGGCTACGGCAAGCTTCCGCCAAACGCGGAGACGGGGCGCGCGCTCTACTTCCGCGGGCACTGGAACCTGCAGGGCACGCTGCAAGGTGTGTAGTGAATCATTTTCTGGATTCTCGGGAAACGTCACAACGAAACACGGTGTATATAGCAAGTTCTTGCCCACTTTTTAGAATAAAATTCAGCGAAGCACACAGTATGAGAGAGGGCAATGTAAATAAAACTAAGTTCACTTAGCTCGCGTTTTTCCGACGAAGCCCGCTTCCTTTACCAACCTCCCCTCCCCCTCTCAACCCCTCCGCCTCTCATCCCCAACCCTGCAGATCTGCTAGCTCGGCACGGGCTGAATGTGGGCAAGCAGATGCTGGTGGGCGGCTGCAGTGCAGGCGGCGTCGCAACGTCAATCAAATGCGATCAAATCTCGAGGTGGCTGGCCAATTATAACGTCACCACCAAGTGCTTCATGGATGGAGGCTACTTCCCAGGTAGGCCAGAGTAGGCCAGAGTAGGCCAGAGTAGGCCAGAGTAGGTCAGAGTAGGCCAGAGTAGGCCAGAGTAGGTCAGAGTAGGCCTCACTTGTGATGGAGGGTGCTTTGCAGGCCTTCTTCACTTTGCGTAGGCTTCTCTTGGGGTAGGTTTCCACGTGAGCATTGATAGAATGCGATCAGATCTCGAGGTGGATGGCCAACTACAACGTCACCACCAAATGCTTCATGGACGGAGGCTACTTCCCAGGTAGGCCTCACCTGCCTGCATCACCTGGGGCAGGCTTCATCCGGGGTAGGCCTTGCTGGGGAGACAATTCGAACGGGCATTCGTTCTAGAGGTGGGTGGCCAACTACAACGTCACCACCAAATGCTTCATCGACGGAGGCTACTTCCCAGGTACGTCTCTCTGGAATGGCCTCATCTATTGTAGGTTTAACTAGAGTATGTCACTGCTGCTGCTGCTGCTGCTGCTGCTGCTGGTGCTGCTGCTCTCCATCAGTCAATACCACTCCCTCCCCTGCCTGATTCCTAATGTGGCGGATAAGGGCCAGCACTGCAGCGTGAGGCAGAAGGTGTAGCTGATGCCACATCCGTCCCTTCCCTCCCCCCTCCCTTAAGCTGATGCTAAACCAAGGCGGATCAGGACAAGCAGTGGAGCATGAGGCACAATGAGCCTTTTGTAGCCGAATCACATTCCCCACCTCCCCCTTAGCTACCATGATCTCCCCTGCCTGATCCCTCCCTTCAGATGTGGCGGATAAGGACGGGCAGTACAGCATGAGGCAGAAGGTGCAGCAGATGGCAGGCGTGCATGACATGGGGCGTATTGGGGTCAACGCCGAGTGCAAGCGAGGTGAGTCGCCACTGTCCAATGAGCAACGAGCAATGAGCACTGAGCACTGAGCATTGAACAATGGGCGAAAGGAACTCTCTCACTCAAGTGATGCAAGCACAGCCTTCTCGTTAGCTGGAGTAGTCCCCAGCGGATTGATGTTCAATGCAGATGCAATGAAATTGACTCTTTCCGGCTTGCACAGTACCTTTGCAAGGACCTCCTCCACTTGCTCTATCTAACATCTTGCTTTGCGTTTCCTCCCTGTCTTTCTGTTTCCTCTCTCCTTGCTCTTTTTCCCCATGGTCCCCATCCTCACTCTATATGCAGCCATGAAGAAGACCAACGACACATGGAAGTGTTTCTTCCCGGAGTACAACCTGCAATTCTCACGCTCTCCAATGCTCATTGTCAACTCCTTGTCCGATTACAAAGCCATCAGTCTGACCCTCGCACCCAGGCCCAAGGGTACCACGGACCCCCTGCTTCGTTGCCTCCGTTCCAGCTACCAAAGCTGCTCACCAGGCCAGGTGAAGCTGCTGCAGTCCTTTTCTGCAAAAGTTAGCTCCTCGATACAAAGGATTGTGCAAACGAAGAGTGCTGAGAATGATGGGTTCCAGGCGTTTACATTTTCACAATCCGCACATTGTGTGGTGGGAGAGGAAATGTGGCAAAAGGTACAGTCAACTGCCAAGGCCTTTTCTTCTGTTCCATCACCCTCCTCATCTCCTGTGGCAACAAGTGGTGGTGCACCTTTAGCCACATCCTTTGTCAACTGGTTCCGTCGCTGATCGGATTAGGACGGGATTTGATGTGCTAGGGCTAGTGGAGCACAATTTGTGCTTTCATGATTTTCATATGCATAGGATGTATCAGGCATAAGCCGAGATTTGAAACCAATCTCAAATCTAGCAGACCTATCAAATGTACAACCCTCAAGCGCGTATACAATTTGTGCGGCACACCACCCACGCTGCCAAAATTGCTTCTCCAGCAGCAATACGGTTGCGACATGCGGTCTGCCCGCAAGGCGAGACGCGAGAGGCTGCATGAGCGCAGTGGTCCCCACGCAAGCCGCAATTCTCGAATGGGGAGCTACTTTGCCACGGTCGTCGAATGGCGAGCCATTTCGTAGCCCTCGTTGATTCTCGCCCTGCCCAACTGCAAGTTCGGGCAACACACGCGAAGTGCACAGATTGGCTATTGCCCCTCTCACGTGTTGCCTTGATGGGTTCTCCATCACATCCACCTGCTTTGCATCCAGACCAGAACGGTTTACCGTGGTTTCGGGGACTTTGGCTGGGTGGGAGGGCAAAGAAGGCGGAGAAAAAGGCGAATGGCTTGTCCTTCGTGAGGCCATAGCGCCAGCCACGCCGAATTCAGTTTGGTCGGAGGTCCGTCTAGGAATTTCATTGGCGGGCGGTGCTTGTGGCTCATGAGAGCCATGTCCGATGCCTGGCTGGCCTGGAGCGAGTCGGAGCTCACGTGCCGCTCCAGCGCCGGAATGGACAGACTTGCCAGAGACACCAAAGATGGGAGTGTTTTCAGATTCTCGCCTTGCTGACCCGAGCTATTCCATACGTCAGTCTTGATGTGCTCCGACGAATTCGGGCTCTTAGCTTAGAGAAACTATTTCTCCTCTTGCTGACCCGAGCTATTCCATACGTCAGTCTTGATGTGCTCCGACGAATTCGGGCTCTTAGCTTAGAGAAACTATTTCTCCTCTAGCTGACCCGAGCTATTCCATACGTCAGTCTTGATGTGCTCCGACGAATTCGGGCTCTTAGCTTAGAGAAACTATTTCTCCTCCGCGAGTGAACAAAAGTGGTTGAGCCGACGTCTAGAACACTAAGCTGGTGCATCCATCTAGGTTGTTGCCAGTAAAGCCCGTGCTCGCGTGTCTTCGTCTTTGAAGCCATGGCCGCGCTTTTGCGCACCACTGCTCACCAGGGCTTGGCAAGTCTGTCGTTGAGGAAACTTTCGATAGTACAAAACAGTAAACGACTTGGTTTTTTCGGAGACAGGTATCCGAAGTGCTCGCAAAGCGGCGGCAGAGGGCATGTTCGACGTAATTTCACTTCTCTAAAAGTCAACTCCGTTCTCGAGGTAATAGATTAGGCTAATGCTATCAATTGCATGGAAATCACGCGTTATGGTTAGTCGATTTCTCATCGCTAGTGCTGCCGGCTGCAGGTCCCGAGTAGTCTTGAAGGTTCCTTCCCACCCGTTGTGTTCCCGACACCTGATGAGAGCGAGTCAACCACGAGGAGGTGGAAGGTCCTTCCTGACATCTGGCCAACTCTCGCGGAGCAGTATGGCGACAAGATTGCTCTTTTCGATCCGCATCACGGACAAAAACGAGGCTTGACGTTTTCAGAGCTCGAGAGTGCAATTTATGATTTCGGTGAAGGTCTGCGCGTCTATGGGCTGAAGCAAGGAGAGTGCGCCTCGCTGTTTGCTGAGAACTCGCACCGATGGCTTATCGCCGATCAAGGCAAGCCAATTTTTATGGGATGATGCCTGTTTTGGTCTGGAGTGCCGTATAAGTACTTTGAAGGTCGAGCGTATTCTGATCATGAGTTTGGAGGGTGCGAGCAGGCGTGATGGACATTGGTGCTCGTGATGCTGTTCGAGGAGCGAAGTCCTCAGGAGCGGAATTATTTCACATTTTGGAAAACTCAGACAGGTTCGTCATGACTTTTGGGGTTCGTTTCATCTCAGTAAGGTTCCCGCATTTCAGTATGAATGACCGCGTTTTTTGTAAATGCTTTCTTTCAGTACCGCTGTCATCGTGGACAACGTCCAGGTTCTTGAGCACATTGCGCCGTTTCTCGAAGCTTCTTCGGTGAAAGACACTGTCAAGTTTGCAGTTGTCCTTTGGCCTCCAGCCGGTAAAGGCCAGGAACGAAGTACTGACTGGAAGACCAGCAGCACGTGCTCCAAATGGTTTTCTCTGTACTCGTTTGAAGAAGTTTCGGCGGCTGGGAGTGCAAGCAGGCTCACTCATGATGCTCTGTCGCGCTCAGCGCCTCGTCAAGCGTCCAGACCTGATAACGTGGCAACATTGGTGTACACTTCTGGGACGACCGGGAATCCCAAGGGCGTGATGCTCACGCACAGCAACCTGATGCATCAGGTCAAGCTCCCCTCTCCCCCCCAGTTCCTGCAGTTCCATCCTGCTCTGCCTCCAGCTATCTCGGGCTACCTCTCTCGGGGCCCCCATTTCGTCTTCCCGTTCTTCCTCCTCCACTATCCATGACTATTCGCCATATTCGCCAGTATCGTCCCATCTTGTTCGTGCTTGCATGCATTCGCACGTCCCTTTCCGTCATCTCATGTTGCGCAGGTCAAAAACTTTGAATGTGCCCTAACGCCTGACGCTGGTGATGTCATGTTGAGCCTGCTACCCCCATGGCACATGTACGAGCGCTCATGCGAGTACTTTCTACTGAGCCGTGGGGTCCAAATCATCTACAGCAATGTCAAGTCATTCAAGGTTTGCCCAGTGCATGATCGCATTTCAATCAAGTCATCCCAGTGTGTTTGGCCATCTGAATCAACTTGTTCAAATTGCATTGCAGGAAGACTTGATCAAACACCCTCCGGACTACTTTGTGGCTGTTCCACTTGTCTTTGAGGTTCTATACAGGTAATGCAGCCACAGTAAGTTATATGTTGAATCATCATCATCCAGCTACATTGAATTCTTTCCACTTGTGAGATTCCCAAAACGCATTTTCTGTTTTGGGATGGGCTTGCAGTGGAGTCCAGAAGAAGCTTGCTGCAGCATCAACCGCCAGGGCAGCAGTTGCCAAGTTCTTGATAAAAGTCAGCTCCCTTCACAAGGAAGCTCTGCGCATCTGGACAGGAATGGCTGTGCTCCGCTCACGTGAAAACGTTCAGGGGCTCATGTTTATGAAGGCTGTGGCAGAATGTTTGGGAGCTGGACTTTTAGCGCTGGTGCTGCTGCCTCTTCACCTGCTGGCGGAGAAGCTTGTGTACACCAAGGTCAAAGCTGCTATCGGCATAAAAAAGGTATGGTATGGCATTTTAGATGACCTAGCAAGGCTTACACTGTTTTCAGACGTTCATGTTGATAGACGCTGTTTACATTGTTGCCTCGAATTCTGCCCTTTGTATGTGCACACAGGCAGCTGTGAGTGGTGGAGGCAGCTTGCCGTCGCACGTGGACAAATTCTTTGAGGTATGGAATGCCTGAGTTTTGTGAACTGACTAGGTCATTCTGAAAATAATTTGTTAGCTCCTGAATTTTGTCACATTCTATCTGATGCCGCTTCTCTTTTGTTTTCAGCAAATTGGGATCACTCTGCTCAATGGATATGGGCTCACAGAGACCTCTCCTGTGCTGACAGTCAGGCAAAGTTCCAACAATGTAGGCACGGTCGACCTGAAGTTTCTCAATTGTCACGTGCTTGCTACAGCAGACGATGGGACTTGATTTGGTTTTCTTTTCGGTCTTTGAAACAGGCATTGGGAAGCATTGGGAGTCCCGTTCCTGGAACAGAGATAAAGATTGTAGACCTGGAGACGGGAGCTGGTCTCCCTGCAGGCCAACGCGGGTTGGTCAAGGCACGTGGCCCTCAAGTGATGAAGGGCTACTACAAGGTGAGTTCAAATTTGTGTTTAGATGCCAGGATTCTTGCACATTTTCAGTGTAATCAAACTTATGTGCATGGGCTTGTTGGTGTTCAACAGAACCCGGTGGCCACAGCAATGGCAATTGACAAGGATGGTTGGTTCTCGACGGGCGACCTTGGATGGATCTCTCCTTTGACTCCAGTTGGCGCTGCTCGAAACTCGGGAGGGCTTCTGGTCCTTGACGGCCGAGCCAAGGATACCATTGTTCTTGCCAGTGGTGCGTGTGACTGGACAGCTGACAAGCACACACGTACTCGCAACTTTGACCTGATGTGTGTGGCTGGATTTTTTTTTCAATGTGTACATTCTTGTCCTTTTTTCGAACAGGTGAAAATGTGGAGCCTGCTTTTGTCGAGGAGGCTGCACTTAGCAGCCCTGTCATCCGCCAGATTATGCTCGTCGGCCAGGTACCGAGTGTGTGCAACGTGTGTAACAGGTTAGAAGCAAAGAATGTCAGTCTGTATGCATTGAATGCCATTTCTTTAACCAGCTATATCTGTATGTATATGTTGAGACTCTGTTACTTGCTTGTCTTATGTTTTCAGGACGAGAGAAAGCTTGGAGCGCTGATTGTTGTGAATGAGGAGGAGATGGAGGTAGCAGTGGCAAGCATGAGAGCGGAGAAGGGGATGGAGGGAGGCGAGGTGACAGAAAAGGAACAGAGGACTGTCGTTCGACAAGAGCTCACCCGCTGGTACGCTAGTCTAGTCAAACAAGACGTTTTGCAGTGTCAGCATTGCAGGTTGTATTCGAAACAAACTGTCACACATTTTTAGTCTGGTCACTAACTTTTGAATACTCTGATTGGTCCTCCCTCCCTCCCCCCCCCCCCCCCTTATTTCTCCTTTCAGTTTAACAGAGGCAGGTTGTTTGCCGCATGAACGGATCGGTCCATTTGCACTCCTCGATGAACCATTCACAGTAAGCCTGCCTATTTACAAACCATGAAAATGTGGACTCGGGTGTGTGTACTCTTACTGACAAGCCGTGCTGAGTTGTTCTTTCAGGTGGATAATGGCCTCCTCACAGCAACAATGAAGATGCGGCGTGATGTGATTTACAGCAGCCACAAGGAGCTTTGTGATCAGCTTTTCCAGCACTGAGTCACCTAGGGTTCCGTGAAGCAGAAATAAAGCAGTTGATGGTTGACACGACGCGTATGATCAAATCGGTTTGTAGATGTGTTTAAAGCTTCTCTGTTTTCCTCCTAGACGGAGGAACATGTTTAGTGCCCTGGCTGCAGCTAAAGTTTATGCAGCAATGAAAAAGGCATAGTGCTGTGACTGCATGTAATTGTCCGTCTTCTCAGCATTATTTCTGATTCTAACTTCCCAGAACTAGACATCTAGCTTCTCTTTATTGTTACTGCACAATATTACCCATTTCACGTCTAGCACATTTCCTGGTGCCAGTCCAGTGCACTCCTGCAAAGCTCCTGTTGGAATTCCAGTACCTTCGGGATATCAGTGACTCCATAATACATAACTGCCTATTACCACCCAGTACATGAACCCAGCAGGTACCCTTATTGTTAGTAATAGCATTGCCAGGACTACCATCACAGCCTAGATAAGCTGTCGTTTGCGAAGGGAATCGACAACACTATCGTTCTTGGCGTCCGTGTCAAGAACCTGCAATTCCAGCCACCCAGCAACACGAGCAACAGGGCACAGCACAATGTGAAATTCTTAAAATGCACTCCAACATTGCATGCTCAAGACGTGCACACCATGTGTTAGCCTCTTGAACCAATCGGAGCAGCATCTAAAACAAAGCAATATGAGAATTAAGCAACAACAAAAGAATGGTCAGCAACACATTCATAAGGTGTCGCACACACCTTATCAATGATGCCATATTCCACGGCAGCATCAGGTGTGAGGTATGTGCCATCAGCAACACATTCATATCACAGCGTGTCTCATGAGTCACATACCTTATCAATGATGCCATACTCCACGGCAGCATCAGTTGTGAGGTACATGGGACGCCTACGCATGGTCAGCACGTTCACAGTGCAATCACTACCAGAGTGGTCGCCCGCACCTTATCAATGATGCCATACTCCACGGCAGCATCAGGTGTGAGGTACAAGGGACGCCGGATGTCATTCTCGATCGTCTCCTCTGACTTGCCCGTGTGCCGCGAGTACAGCTTCACCTGCAGGGAGAAACAGGGGGATGCCAAACACACGGCAGAATCAGGTGTGAGGTACAAGGGACGCCGATGTCATTCTCGATCGTCTCCTCTGACTTGCCCGTGTGCCGCGAGTACAGCTTCACCTGGAGGACAAACAGAGAGGTCAAACACAGTAATTGATGTCAAACACAGTAATTGATGTCAAGCACAGTAATTGATGTCAAACACAGTAATTGATGTCAAGCACAGTAATTGATGTCAAGCACAGTAATTGATGTCAAGCACAGTAATTGATGTCAAACACAGTATCTGATGTCAAACACAGTAATTGATGTCAAACACAGTAATTGGTGTCAAACAAAGTAATTGATGTCAAACACAGTAATTGATGTCAAACACAGTAATTGATGTCAAACACAGTAATTGATGTCAAACACGGTAATTGATGTCAAACACGGTAATTGATGTCAAGCACAGTAGTTGGTGTCAATGTCACTGTATAACAATGTCTTCACCTTGCAAGGCACATAATTGACTTCTGAACGTCAGTGGTTTGTCAATGTCACCGACTTCTTTCTCTAGTACCCATGCACTCACCGGCTCTGAATTCATGTTCCGCACTTCCTTGCGCATGGCGTGAATGCCATGTCAATGCCATGTCAATGCCATGTTAATGCCATGCCAATGCCATGTCAATGCCATGTCAATACCATGCCAATGCCATGTCAATGCTATGTCAGTGGCCTGTATGAGTCAGTGACCCCTCTCTCATTGTCACAAATGTGGCCCACTCACTCACTTGTTCGGTCTTCACATTCCGCACTTCGCATGATGTCAATGTCAGTGGCCTGCCAATGTCGGTGCCCTGTAGACATCACTGGCTTGTCTTTCAACCACTTTCAACCCCTCACCAGTTCTGTCTTCACGTTCCGCACTTCCTTGCGCATGATGTCAATGTCGGTGGCCTGCCCGCGGAACCGAGAGATGGGTTGCTTGAGCATGATGGAAGAGGAGGGCAGTGCTGACCGGTTGCCCTTAGACCCTGCAGACAGCAGCAGCGCCGCCTCCCCCCACGCGTTGCCCACACACAGTGTGAAGATCGGAGGCTTCACGTAGCTGGGGCGTGGAAGAGGGGAGAGGTGGTGGAAAACTAAGGTTAAGGAAAGGGGGGGGAAGAGGGAATATATGGGGGGAGAGGACAGTAGAGAGAAAAGGAAGGGCGGTGATGGGAGGAGGGCACAGGAATGGATGGCAGGCAAGGAAGGGAGGGCAAGGCAGAAAGAGAAAGGAGAGGAGGAAGTAAGGGTAACGCTAGGAAGGCTAAGAAGGAAGACTGACCGCATGGTGTCATAGATGGCAAAGGAAAAGAGGGCAGGAAAGGGAGGAGCGCAGGCCACTGAAGAAAAAGACAGAGCGGATGCAGGGCTGAGGAGGGAAGACTGACCGCATGGTGTCATAGATGGCAAACGCCTCTGTCTCGTACCCCAGCTTCTCCCCGTCCTGAACGCATCGGAAGGGGGCAAAGGAAGAGGAAATTGGAGGAGAAAGTTTCAACCGGGAGGGAAATAGAGGGGAGGGGGGGAAGGTGGAAAGACATCCATCTCCAGTCGTCTTATAACGAGGATAACCAGTACAGTACCTTGGTGGTATCCATGGATTTGATAAAGATGTAACTCGGCCTAGTACTGCAGGCAGAACAGTTCGGCCATGATGAGCTATAGTACTTTACCTAGGTGGTTCCCGTGGAGTTGATATACATGTAAATCGGCTTCTCAGGGCTGTCGTACTGCAACTCGGCCATGATGAGCTCGTCTTATAACGGGGATATAACACTACAGTACCTTAGTGGTTCCCGTCGAGTTGATGTACATATAAATCGGTTTCTCCGGGCTTTCGTACTGCAGATACAGCAGCTCCGCCATGATGAGCTCTAAGGACGGAGCTCCCTTGCAGGACTGACCTCTTATATAACGCGGATATTCTCTACAGTACAGTACCTTGGTAGTGCCGGTAGAATTGATATACATGTAGAATTGGTTTCTCAGGGCTGTCGAACTGCAGGTACAGTAACTCAGCCATGATGAGCTCCGTGACGGAGGGCACGGCTTTTGAGGTGCCTCAAAAGTCGTTTTATAACGCGGATATCCGTTACAGTACCTTAGTTGTTCCAGTCGAGTTGATGTACATATAAATCGGCTTCTCAGGGCTGTCGTACTGCAGGTACAGCAGCTCCGCCATGATGAGCTCCGTGACGGACGGCACGAGCGACATGCCCAGGAACACAATGCGGTTCTTGAAGAGGTACGAGGGGAGATCCGGTGGCGGCTGCTGAGTTGCCTCGCCCTTTTGAAACGGGATGACCTGCGGGGAGGGAGGGGGGAAGGGGGAGCGGCGAGGCGCGGTATAAGAGAAAAGGGGTTGGTGGGGAGAGGATAGGGGCGAAGAGGAGAAGTGGGAGAAATGGGAGGAGCGGGGGGAAAGACGAGAAGGGGGGATGAAGGTGGGTGGGATGGGGCTGTAAGTGGCGGAGGGCACGAGTGTCATGACTAGGAATCCGAGTTCGAGACGGCTACTAAGGCGCCTCGAGAGTGATTCTGTAGTATCGCGTAATGCGGCCTACATTACACGTCGAGAGTGAAACATTAATCCTGGGGCGTTTATATACTCTCAGTCTCCAATACGACGCCTAAGAAATCCGGTTTCCGAAAAAACGACGGCCTGACAAGATTTTGACTCGAGTGATTCTTCGCTGTTACACACAACGCGCGGCCGCCACTGCTGCTGGAGGTGAAACGAGAGGCCCAGGCTGGAATGGCTCCAAATATCGCCAGGGCGCTCCAAGTAGCGTCAGGGGGCTCCAACAATCGACAAGAGCCGTCGTATTCGTGCTAATTTCGATAATTTTGAAAAGTAAAGGACGGCTACGATGATGCATTGCGGAAACACGACACGTCTGGCGCCAACCCGATGCGTCAATAACGCGGATATGCCAAGCAGCTGGAACAGCGAAACGCGCGAGGCAGCATCCAGTGAAGATGAGCTAAAGCGCCGGCAATGGCCGCGAACCTTGGGAATGCCGTGAGCCCCGAGAGTCAGTGAACCTAGGGATTTCTGAAAACCTTGAGAACGCCGCGAATCTCTGGAACCTCGATAGGGCTTGCGGCTGTCGTAACCCGTGTAGTTGTTTAGGCCTCGGGGAATAATGGACGCGGTGCTGTTTCGCGGCAAGCCTTCCTGTGGTGCCAGAGCTCTAACATTGCGAACACACTTTCGCAGAAGTCTGCTGAAACAAAGCGAGCAATTGTCGCGAAAGGTTATTCTGACTGTGTGTGCCCTGCGAAAGATTGCTATCACGAGGCTATTTATAACGCGATCAGCGTCTAGTGTATAACGGATCCGGTCGCGTGAACGCCGACATGCCAGCTTCAGTTTCCGTACGCGCGAGTCGGGCTTCCTTCTACTGTTTTGAAGTTTCCTCTAACCACAGCGTTACGCACCATTTCGACAACTCCTCGTCTTCCGCACGAATCCCCTCCCGCCACATGTCGCGATCGCAGCACTTCCGTCGCCGAATGGAGGCTCTGACCCATCAGCTGCTTCGCGCCCACGTGGGCGCGGCTCGCCACGTGAGCATCGAGCTTAACCCTCGACGTTGATTGCGGCAGGGCAACGGCTGCCACCGCGCCTTTCCGCGTGCGCGAATCGGCGCGCAGCGGCGTGGCGAGTGTGTGCGGCGCAACAGAGGAATGGCACACTAGGCGATCCATGCTCCACCACCACACCGCCGCCGGGTGACAGGACCACGCGGAAACGCGATAAGAAGAAGAGCGGACCACGCGATCTAGAGGCGCCTGATGGGAATAAGAGTCACGCACTCCCGTACTAACGACACGAATAACTAGTTTAGGGATAGTCTGGTCTAGGCGGCAAGAAAGAGAGGCGGGGCGGATTGGATCCTGGCCTGGGAAGCGGGGAAGGGTGTGCGCGGAGGGGAGAAAGGGGAATGCGGAGGCCGCGGGCGAGATATTGGTGCGCGGAGATAGACAATGACGCGCGGGATAAGTAGGGGGCCCATGGGGAGGGGAGGGGAGGATCACTTGCAGAGAAGCGGAGCCATTTCACATCTTCGGGAAAGCCACGGCACGGGTCCACGTGGCGCGCTAATATCGGTGCGAATTGCCTTAAAGCTGCTTCGCTATTATCCAGAAACTCGCAATTATAGAAGAAAATGACTTCGTAAGTAGCAGAAGCCCCAAACAAGAGCAATAGGGTGCACCAGATAGTGGGCCTGTTTGTAATGTGTACGTAAATATCATGTCTAAAGTGAATTCACCACAATAGAAAAGTAGTTTCTGCAGCACTTATGCTCCCCTTAAACATAAATAAATATGGTAGCATAAACAAATGAGGAATAGAGATGCAAAACAGTTTTTAAGAAAATAGTTACTGGTACTGGTGCCGTGATTGCCGCATCTGGTGCTGCTGATACCACTGGTTAGGCTGATCCAGCGTTCCAACCATGTCCCCCTCCTCTTCCTGCAGCCTCTCACACTCATCCTCATCCTCACTCAGAGGATCCCTCCCATCCGGTCCCACCATCAAAATATCCCATGTGTCAGCACTACCACCAATGTTACTGTACGTATCACCATTACTGTTACTGTTGTTGGTGATGCAGGCTTGCCCTGGAGCTGTGCTTCTTGCCTCCCCCTCGCCTGTTTGTGAGGGAATTTTCGTCCCTCCTTTGGCTGCTTTACCTTTGTTAAGAAGAGCCAGAGGCCGCTTGAGAAACCCCTGCTTTGTCCCTGTCTTCTTCTGCTTCTCACCAACCCTCTCCCTCTCCTCCTTGTCCTCTGAACCATTGCATGCATTGCCTCCCTCCTCCTCTTCCACCTCTCGCTGCTGCTGCTGCTGCTGCTGCTGCTGGGAAGGAGGATCATACTGAAAGGATTGTTTCTCAGAGAGCTTCTCAGCTTTCGTGAATTTACCGGTTGCCATCTTTCCAAACAGAGACAGCACTGCCCCACTTTCCTTACGAGAGCCTTCTTCCCAGTCAAGAGACCCAATACGAGGAAACAACCCTTTCCTCCTTTCCTTCCCCTCCTTCCCCTGCCCTTCTCGCCCGTCCTCCTCCGGTTCCTCTGTGCATTCACTAGACTCAGTCGATCCCAACCGAGGATAACGCCCATTTTTCCCCTCCTTGCCCTCCTTTCGCTGCCCTTTTCTCCCCTCCCTCTGTTCCTCCCTCCCTTCCCCTCCCTCCCCTGAGCCCATTGACCCGGAGTTAGAACCATCCGATCCCGATCGAGGAAAGGACCCCTTCTTCCCCTCCTTTTTCTCCTTCCTCTGCTTTCCTTCCTTGTCCTTCTTCCCCTCCTTGCCCTCCTTCCTCTGCTTCCACTCCGTACCCTCCTTCCCCTCTTTGCCCTCCTTCCCCTCTTTGCCCTCCTTCCCCTGCCCTTTTCTCCCCTCCTCCCTTCCTCCCCCTCCCTCCTTTCCCAAGCCCATTGCCCCAGAGTTAGAACCAACCGATCCTGACCGGGGAAAGTTCCCCTTCTTGTCCCCCTTTCCGGGCTTATTGGCACTCTTAGGCTCGGACAGAAACGAGTCAATGATGAAGCTCAGCTCTTCTTTCACGAAGTCACCTTCTTTGAGATTCGGTCCGTTCGATCTGCCCTCCGTTCGGACAGGAATGCTGCTCGCACTGCGTCGGATGCAGCTGCTGCTGCTGGCGCTGCCACTGCTGCTGCTGCCACTGCTATTGCTGCCGCCACCGATGTTGCCCCCGCTGTTGTTGCTGCTGCCACTAGTTATGCCACTGCTGCCACTGCTGCCGCTGCTGCTGCTGCTGTTGCCACTGCTGCTGCCACTGCTGCTACTGCTGTTGCCGCTACTAATGCCAGCAGCATGCTTCAACCCCTTCGCAGTGACCATCTTCTTAAAGAGAGATGTTGCAGAGGACGAAACTTCAGTCCGCGAGTTTGGGTCGGCGGTCCTTGGCCGTATGCCCGGCTGGCTCTTTGACCTGCCATACAGGTCCTGCTTACGTTGAGCGAAAAAATCATGGTCAACACGGTCGACAGGGTCAACTGGGTCAACGCAAGCAGCTTGGTCATCAGGGTCAACAGGATCATCATGGTCAATGCGGTCGACAGAGTCAACATAACTATCTTGGTCAACGGAGTCAACAGGGTCAACACCACTGCCAGAGCTTGTCTCATGCTCCTTCCACCCTTCTTCATCAAGCCTCCCTCCATTGTACTTTCTCCCGAGCACTTGAACGCTCGCCATCCTTCCCCACACCATCCCCTTCCCCTGCCCCTTGCCCCGCACTTTCTCCGGCCCGTTCCCATTTAACCACTCTCCATCCAACCCATACTGCCTGCCACTCCCATCTATCCCCCCTCCCCTCCACCTATCCTGCACAGTAACAGATTTCCCAAACCCTCCCTTCCCTGCCCTCCTGCTGCACCCTTTCCCACTCTCCCCAGAGGCAGCTTTTCCCTTTCCCCCGCCCTCATCTTTCCCCAGGCCCCTGCTCCCATCTCCCACATCCCTCCCATTATCATCCTCCCCACCCCTCCCGAGTTCTGCCAGTGCCCCGGCAAGCACCCCCTTCCTCATAGCGCGCTCTTTCACAGTCAAGCTCTTTCCCATCCCCCCTTCTTGCCCTGCAGGGGACGCAGCCTTACTGGTCTGCACCGCGTCAGTCTTGGAAGCAGCCTTACTGGTCTGAACCGCCTCAGAAGCACCAGCCTCCTTCTTCCTCTGCACTCGTGCCAAGCGGTTACCAGCATATCCCCCAGCAGATTCGTTAGTAGCTGCCCCTGGTGTGGTACAAGCTCGAACAGCGGGAGCAAGAGCCGCAGTGATGGAATCCTTGTCATTATCTGGAGCAGGATCAGGGAGCGCAGGATCACCAGGGAAGGTAGAGCTCTTCCCTGAGAGAAAACTTTCACCTGCCCGTTTGAGGCTGCCCGTCGGGTCAGCGTCGAGAAAATCGGCAATGTCGGGGGAAATGATGACCGAGGCGAGGGGGAGGGGGGTGCCTGTGTCCAGATGGAATGCGAGCAGAGAGGCGGAGGGGAGGCGAGCGAGACGGGACTTTGGCTGCGGTGGTGGCAGCAGTCGCCCCTGCACCTGCTCCTGCTGCTGTTCCTGCTCCTGCTGTTGCTGCTGCTGCCCCTGCTTCTGTTCCTTCTCAGTAACTGCCTCATCACCTCCCACTTCCCCCTCTCCTTCCTCCCCAGAACCTCTTTCACTCCCACACTCACGACTCTCCCACGTACTCTTGTTTCCATTCTCGCTGCTCCTCTCACTCCGGTCATTCTGGACACACTGGCCACTCCAGTCACTCTGAACACTCCCCGTTGCAGAGTCACTTCCCTTCTCACTCCCACAAATACTATCATCCGCATCTTCTCCCCCTCGCCTGACCTCCTCCCTCTCCTTTCCCTTTCCCCTCTCCTCTCGTCCCACACCCTTCCGTCTGCGCCCGTCCACCCCACCCCTCATCATCACTCCTACTGCATCCCACGCCTCTCTCACCTCCTCCTCACCCGCCCTCCATTTTCCTTTTGCTCTCACCTCCTCCCCATCCGCCTTCCCCTTCCCACTCCCCCTCTCATTCCCCTTGTGCCCAGACCTGTCCTCCTGCCGCCCCCAGCCACCCAACATTCTCTCCTCTCCAGCACCCCCCCCTACGCTTTTACTCCGCCAGCCCTTACCTCGGATCTTCTCTTTGCTCTCCCCTCTGCTCTTGCCCTTGCTGCCCTCTCCCTCTTCCCGTCTGCTCTTATCCCCAGCGCCTTCTCCTTTTCTCCCCTGGCGTTCCTGCCGCTCCTGCCATTCCCGCTGTGCCAGAGTCTCCTTCTGCCCCTGCCGTCTCACAGGGGTTAACGGTCTGGCTTTCCAACCAGCACTCCCGCAATCATCCTCGCCCATTCCAGCCGACACACAAGGTTCCTCCCCAGCCGACACACAAAGTTCCTCCCCAGCCGACACACAAGGTTCCTCCCCAGCCGACACACAAGGTTCCTCCCCTTGCCACTCCTCTGCACCCGAACCCCCCACAGGGGTTACCTGTCTAGCGTCTCTAGTGCCCCTTCCGGTGCCACTTCCTCTTGATCTCGTGTCACTCTCCTCTACACCCTCTTGGTCCCACTTTTGAGCTTCCCCGTCGTCCCACTCATTGTAACCCTCCTCCTCCTCGTTCTCCCCCTCTCCCCTGCTCTCCTGACGGCCGCCCATCTCCCTGTGCCCGAGAGCATGACCCACGGACCTGCTCCGAACGTGCCCTGGCTTCATATCCTGTGTTCGTGGGACGTGGCATTGTGTCAGGCCTTGTGCCATTGGAAGGCGGCCTGTCGTCAGGCCTTGTGCCATTGGAAGGCGACCTGTCGTCAGGCCTTGTGCACGTCCTGATTTCAGCCTACTTGCTGGCATCCTCGTCCCACCTAACACACCCTCCTCCCTCGCATCCCTATACCCCACATCCCTCTGTGAGATTCCCCTCTCGCCTCCACCCACCTTCAGACCAACGTAAAATTCACCAGAACGACCTGAGCCACCAGAACCACCGAAACCATTCAAACGAAGAGAATAGCCAGGAGAACCATAAACATCTCCACGCCTCCGTTCCTCTCGCCCTCGCCCAACCCATGCACCCTCCGTGGAAATTTCCTGTGCTGAGTCAGACTGCTCGAGGTCCAGCATGGCAGCTGCTGCTGCTGACATCATCTCCCTCTCCTCCTCTTTCACCTCTACTCCTCTCCAGCCCTCGTTCGTGACGTCATCCATAGCATCATCATTCCCGTATAGACCCGACCCATGTAAACACTCCCTTCGCCATGCGCGCTGTGTCTTTCCCTCCTCCACTTCCTCCTCCTCATCCTCGCATTCTGAAGAGAGTTTTTGCTGGGAGTCAAACGGTAAATGACAGCTGGGCGAACGGAAGTGGGAACGAGGGCGGGAGTGAGAGTGGGCGTGGGAGTGGGAGCGAGTGTATGCGTGGGAGGGGGAGGAAGAAGAGTCAACAGGGGAGTCTCGCAGGCGGGAGGGTGCAGCTGTGCGGCCACTCTCCCATGAGAACTCGCTGCTGAGAACGGCAGAGGGCAGGGCGGACATGGTGCGACGGGGGCGACCATGCAAAGGGACCCTCACTGCACGCTGGGACTGCCGCTGCTGCTGCTGCTGCCACTGCTGCTGCTGCTGCCGCTGCTGCTGCCGCTGCTGCTGCGGCTGCTGCTGCGGCTGCTGCTGAAGGTGGGGCATATGGTGGAGATGGGAGGGTTGCCCCTGACCAGCCAAAGCAGCAGGCGTGGGGTCATGGTCCCAGCGTCTCGTGTCCTCCCCCTCTTGGTACCGCTTTGTTCGATCCTTGGGCGTTTCCCCTTCCCACTCCGCGTCCCCTGCCGCCCACTCGCCCTTGTCCTCCACCCACTCTCCCCTGCCCTCGCCTTCGCTCTCGCCCTCATCCTCGTCTCGTCGCCCCTGCTCTCTGCTGATGAATGACTTCTCCTTTCTGTAACTATGCCCATAGTCGGCCTGCTGCTGCTGCAGCTGCTGCTGCTGCCGCTGCTGCTGCCGCTGCTGCTGCCGCTGCTGATTTTTCTGTGGCATGTTTTCACCTTGTGCAGCAGCGGACAAGGCAGATTGCGCAAGGCGGCTAGAGGGAACCGGCCAGCGCGGGGGCGAAGGAGAGGCAGAAGAGGGGGGAGCAAGGAAGGAGAGGGGCCCTGAGGCGGATCGAGTATGGCCAGTTCGGGACGTTCGGTACTGTTGTGATGTTTCAGACGGTTGGGATGGCCGCTGCTCATTCGCTCGGTGATAAGGCTCAAAATGTTGTTGCCTTCGCTGCTGGTCTCTTTGCTTCTGCTGTTGCTCCCCCTCTTCTTCCTCCTCTTGCTGTTCCTCATCCTCCTCCTGCTGCTGCTGGGTCTGGCCCGACCACACCAACTGCTCCCTTCCTGCCTTGTTCCGGGCGTTTCTCACTGCTGCAACACCAAGATTATAAGCGCTGCCCTTCCCAGCAGCGCCGCTCTGATACTCATAGCCACCACCATCAACAGAGCCCTCTCCATCCGCGCTATAGCCACGAACAGGATAATTATAGCCTTGCTTCGCAACAGGAGCATTGAAGGGACGTGAAGGACTGTTGCCCGCCTGAATGACGTGGGGAGAGCTGCCGCGGGGAGCATGGTTCTCGCGGCTGGGGCTGCACACTCCGGCAGGATTTGAACCCGCGTCTGCAACAGCAAGTTTGGCGATTTCTGCGGCGGTCATGGAGACAGAGCGGTGGCGATGGCGAGCGAGAAGGGGCCTGCGGTAGGACTGCAAGGCGAGGGGTGGAACAAATGGGACAGAGGAAGCGTATCAGTGGGTGGGACCATGCTTCATGCGTTGCTGGAACGTTCGTTTCGTTTGTTTCTATTCTCGCTTGGTGCGAGTGAAGCTACTTTTTGCTACGGAGGTCAGTTTCTTCCGTTCGCGACAAAGGATCATGGGAGAAAGCGGAAGCAGGGACGAAGTGAGGAGGAAAATAAGACGCACCTCTCTCAAGCCGCCACCAGCAGCAGCAATACCGCCCATCCCCCCACCACTACTAGCAGCAGCTGAAGCAGCAGCAGCAGCAGCGGCGGCGGCGGCAGCAGACGCTTCATCCGCCACGGCAGCGAGAGCGGCAGATAACCCTCCCCGCGAATACGACCTCCCCCGGTCGAACCCTGCCTTGACTGCCAGGGGAGGCCCCTCCAACAGCATCTCGTCGAGCAGCATCGACCCGCCTCGCGACTTGCGCCGCTCCTTTCCCCGTGCAGCGGCGGCACCTGGTGACGGCGGCGCAGCGCCCGAAGTTGACGCTCTGGGCAACTCCAGCAACCCCGCGGAGACGGACGGACTTGGGAGAGTGGAGGACCTGGGCGTGACTGGCGGCTGCTCTGCCGCTGCTGTTGCCGCCACGGCCATCGCTCCTGAGGCCAATTCGTCCGTTACTAGTAAAGCGCCTCTCGACCTTCGCCTTTCTCTACGTTCTTTCGTGATTCCAGCTCCAACCGAGGGGTCCGCTGGAGTCCGCGTGCGAACGTTTTGAGAATCTCGCCGTGCTGGCGAACTGTTTGCTTCTGTGTAACCCTGCTTCTCCTCCGTGATTGGTTTCTGGGACGTGGTACGGCGTCTTTCGGCCATGATTTTGCCCGGCTTGTTTGCTACAGCTACTCCTGACAGGCCAGACGAGCCGTCGCCTACGTTTTCGAATTTACCTAATTTGACATGCCTGACACGCGAAACTTGCAGGTTCGCATCGTCAAGATTATTCTCCAGGAGGAAGATGTGCGGGGCTTCACAGGCGGCAGCCATTCATGTGCGTCACCAGTCGCATCCAGGGTACACACTCGAAGGGTAGCTTCGAACAAGAACCCGTTCACACACTCGCAATTGCTTGAGTGATTCTGTCATCGACTAAGAAAAACGCCGCTGCGTCTCGAAGCTACCATGTTCACAAGGTTCAGCAACCAAGTGTGCTCGGAACGGAAGTGCGCATCGTTATGGCAGTAAAATGGTAAGGGAATAGCAGACACGGAGTCTTCGTAGACTGAAGAAGTGAAACCTCAACACGTCGCTGGCGATGCGACGTGGGAGTTCTTTCTTGACCTTGGAAGAGAATCTCAGACCCCCGAAGGACAATCTCGAAGGACCCCTTGCCTGAGATTCTCGAGGCTCTCGCTCGAGTCTCGCAGGACTCGATCGCGCTAGTGGGGTCACTCGCATCGCAGGCACCGACTTGGGCAGATTGCTGGTGCCAGCCAGGAAGGCAATCTCGAACAGAGCCTCCTTCCCACACCCCCCCCTCTCCTGCCCCAGTTTCGCTGGTGGATGCAGGATCTAGGGTAACCAGTCGCGGCCTCATGCCGCAACGCGTAGGGCCAACTCGAACAGTTCGTCATTATTTCGCCACACCTCGCTGTCAGCCTTCTGACCGGCCAGAAACAGAATGCCCCACTGACGCGAGCCGCAGTTGGCCAACTGCTGGCGTGGCCTCGTAACATGGCGCCACATGTGATGGGTGTCTGCACAGTGGAAGGCGCTGTTGCAGATTCGCAGCTAATGGGCAACTGGGATGAATTTATCGTTCTTGCACCAACCTTCTAAAGAAAAGCGTAGCCATGGGTGGTCATATAACCAGACACATTACACCTCAAACACACATAGATATCACAACCATGACAACCTCGAGACCGCCATGGCTGATCCCGAGGCCTTCACACGTGCCAATGTCTAGCAATTTCTTGTCATTTGTTGATACGGAGCCTAGATTCGTACTCCTTAAGACTAGGAACCGATGGTACACTTTTTGTGTTCACTACTCGAACATTGACCATTCGGTCTAATTGTCAGACACTCTCCAGGTTCAGTTTAACAATGAAGTATGCTGGATGCGCGAAGGTACCCGTCTCCCCCCGGATATAAGCGCCACCCTAGGATAAGCGCCTGGCGCTTCTAATTGGCATATGGCGCTTATATCCCCTCCTCGATTATAAGCGCACCCCTTGAAAAAACTTGTTTTATTATAAGCGCACGTAAACTTTAAAATTTGAAATGTGTTCAAAAAGCTGTAACGATTTTTACTTTAGCAGGCGGATATGTTGCAGAATCGGTTCCCTTCACATTCGGACCCTGCACTGGATGCGGGTCCAGTCAGCAGGACCTGTCAGGAGCTGGATGTGAGTCAGATTGGGTGTATCTCCCAGCGCGCGCGAGAATTTCACAGACGATCCCATGTAACTTCGACTCGATTGAAAAGGCAAGCACGAGACCTACAGTTTGGTGTTAAAAGATATAAAAAAATATGTATGTCATTTTATAAACGCCGGCGCTTATAAATTTACTCGATTATAAGCCCACCCCCATGAAAAAACCTGTTTTATTATTGCCCCCCATGGGGGTATATCCGGGGGGATACGGTACCAGGGAGCCTGGAATGGCTATTATCAAGGTTACAATGCTCGTGGCGCGTCACAGGGAGGCTTTCTGCTATTTATACAAGCATTAGTGGAGGGACAGACACAAGTCAAGGAAGGGGCTTCCAGTGCTCAGTTTCTTGCTGCTCTTTGTTGCTATGCTCTCCAGCAGCTATTCTCATCATCACGCTATGGCTCCTCCAAAGGGGACTCCTGCCTTGAACGCTCCAGGAGCTGGTCTTCACGACAAAAAGCCAACGGATGCTCGTCCTGAACTGGTCACCCCGAATACGCTTTTCAATGGTGTGACGGCTCCACGCGGGGATGACGTTATCAACACGCAGACAGCTCGTACGTCGGCATTACGCATTAATGACCTGCCACAGGGGAGCAACAGGTCTGGCAGCGATAAGGAGAATGGCAAGGCACCGGCTGACTCGAACGAGCTGGACAAAGGGAAGGCAAAAGTTCAGGATGCGTAAGAGGACTGTGGGTACCAAAGTGTCAATCCGGATGAATGTCAGGACCCGGCAGTGCTGAACGAGATCGCGGCGCAAGCAGGTGTCGCTATTATGTTGCTGGTCCCCTTCAACTGGAGTAAGGAGATCCCGCCCATCATTAGTACGATCTACTACTTGCTGAGGATGTAGGGGAAACACATGTCGGAGAACGCAGGGACGACGACGAGGTGTCAGCAGCTCATTGCGACCTTCCTCTCAAAGCAAAATTTCGGATGCATTGAAGTGGTGATTCTGCAAGAGTCTGACGCGAAGTTCATGCATAGCAGGGAGATTGAACATTACACAGCAAATGAGAAGAAGCTCACGCTCTGCTGGCTGCATCCGGAAAATCAGGAGTATTTGAGGGAACGCACGGCTCACCCGGTGGCGATTGAGATGCTGCTTAAAGGGGTCCTGGCGGTGATTTCACCGGCGAGGATCAAGAAGAACCTGGTGACTGCGGTGCTGCTGAAGCAAGGCCAATTGACTTTCATTGATGGATCGGGTTTCCACCGTGTGCTAGATCCGGTTTCAGGGTCAGACATGGACCAGATTAAGGGCCTGGTTTTCAGGCACCCGGGTGGTGACCTTTTTCACCCACAAGACCGCCGGCTGGCACTGGGAAAAAGGCAGTAAGAGGTGAAAGGCGATAGCTGAAGTTTTCTGGGAGTCTCCTTTCGCGGACCTTCCAGCGCCGTCCAATGGTTGGGAGGTCGAGCGGGAGCTACTCTGTTTCAACCGACGCATCATGTTCCGGGGGGAGAGTCCGTTCGGGAACCAGCAGGGGGCGGTTGGAATCCGGACAACCAGGCTTGGCGACCTGCTCACTACCAGGGAAGACGAAAGCAAAGAAATTAAAGACGTCAAGGAGCTGAGGGCAGATTTTGGCAGTGTGGCATCGGTGAGATGGGCGATAAAAGCATACGAGGCGATCCCTGCCGAATGGAAAGCAATGCTGGCAGCACAGAAATCAGCGGGTGCAGTGGTGGCGGCAACGAAAGTGATACAAACGATTCTGGCACGCACGCAGGAGTTCCTCTACTGGACGGTGCGAGGGGTCAAGGACGTTGGTGTGGCGACAGACCATTTGGACTGCCCCGACGGCAAAAACCTGGTAGCACCGCAGAGGCCTTTCGCGGTCACCTTCTCTGTCCAAAGCATGGCGCCGGTGGCGGTCACAGGAGGCAGAGTGCTCGGCGCGATGGGCGAGCCGAGAGTCAAGCTGTGCCAAACTAATGAGGACTTCAGGCCAGCAACACCTAAGGTGATAAGGAGGGTGTTGGCGGGGCCGGTAACGGAGTCGAGGCGGAGGCATGAGTGGGAAGAAGAGTGGGGAAACAAGATCGATTGGAAGGTGGTGAGGGAGAGAAGAGACTCACAGGCAATCCCGTACAAAGCACGGGATGTGGTTTTGAAGATGCACAACAAGATTCTACAGGTGGGGGAGAGGCTGGTGTTTCTTGGTGCCAGGGGTTGCTGCCCGCACTGTGGAGAGCGAGAAACCCTAGTTCACAGCATGCTCACTTGCCCGGTCATCCAGCCACTGATTGGCGCGCTGCTGAGGTCGCTGAGAATCATGAATCTGGCGGATCAGACGAGTTCGCTAGGTGACATGCTGTTTCAGGAGGGGGCTACGAAGTCCGGGTTTCCGGGGGCAACTTTGACAGCAGTGACGTGTCAAACATTATATATGTTGTTGTAGTTGTTTAGGCTACAGTGGGTTAGCCTATAGGGGGTACACATTCCTAGGTTTTGATACTTGTACTCATTTCACTCTTAGTTCATTCATTCTTGTTCAACTTGGTATAGAGCAGGTCCTTCCTAGGACCGATTTTCTTTTAGGGCCCACCACTACCTACCTACCTACCTACGCCCTAGGGCGCCTCGGCTTTCACGCCCCTAGAGGCCCCGTCGGCCCCGCGCTCGTCCTTACCGGCCCCGATCGGCCCCGCGCTCGTCCCTCACGGCCCCGATAGGCCCCGCGCTCGCCCTTAGAGGCCCACGTCGGCCCCGCGCTCGTCCCTTACGGCCCCGATCGGCCCCGCGCTCGTCCCTCACGGCCCCGATAGGCCCCGCGCTCGCCCTTAGCACCCACGTCGGCCCCGCGCTCGCCCTTAGCACCCACGTCGGCCCCGCGCTCGTCCCTCACGGCCCCACCCGCTCCCCGCGCTCGCCCTGAGCGGCCCCGAACGGCCCCACCCAGACCGAGCAGCCCGAACCGAGCCGACCCGAGCCGCCCAGCCCTAACGGAACAGAGCCGCCCGACCCGAGCCGCCAGCCCTAACCGACCCGAGCCGCCCGAACCGAGCCGCCCGAACCGAGCCGCGCCGCCCGAACCGAGCCGCCCGAACCGAGCCGCGCCGCCCGACCCGAGCCGCCCGACCCGAGCCGCGCCGCCCTACCTATACCGAGCCGCGCAGCCCTACCTGTACCGAGCCGCGCCGCCCTACCTACCCTACTGCTCCTACTGCTTTTCCTACTGCTGCTACCATGGCTAGCCCTCCTGTCC